AACCATAACTCAGCCATAACTCAGTAATAACTCAGCCATAACTAATATATAACTCAACCATAACTCAGCCATAACTCAGCCATACCAGGGACCATAACCCAGCCATACAAGGACCAGAACTCAGCCATAACTAGCTAATAACTCAGCCGTCAAGCTGAATGATGATAACTCAGTCACAACAAAAAAGTGTAAAACTTACATCGTCCCACTGCCAGCCATACTTAGTGTCCGAATCTGGCCAATCCTTTCTTTCAGTGATGATTCTCTTGTAGAATTCAACTTCAGGGACCGCCTTGCCATATGGGGTAGCCCTAACAAACAACACACTTTAATATACATAAAAAGGGGGTAAAGAAGCAGTAATCAACAGGTCAATAGGTACGCAGACTTACTTGTGTGGACTTAAGTGTTCCAATAATCTCTCCAATCTAGCAGGATCAACAGGGGCGAAAGGATCATATATTGCAACAGAAGGTGCACAGTTCTTCCTCATACATGTCAGCCCATTCTCTCCAATAATAGGGAAAACATGAGGATTCGGCTGTGGCTCTAATGCACTCCCATCTTTAGCAAACTTCACATTTGCTAACCTTAAGCCTTTAATCCTTTCATTCCTAATATTTTCTTCTTCATCAATATCAGATTCAGGTAATATGTTGAAGTTCTCGAAAGGATTATTGTCAGTGATATCCTCTATTTCATTGTCAGAAGCTTTGTTATCCCCTTTGTTGTCCCCTTTGTTAACCCCCTTGTTGTCCCCTTTTCTGTCCCCTTTGTTGTCCTCAACCTCAACCTTTGAGAGTTTGAATTTGACAAGAGGAATCTTTACAACATCTTCAGCAAGTTCTTCCACCAGATCAGAAGGGACACTTGGTTTCAGCTGCTGAACAGCTCTAGGCTTTCTATCTCTCTTCTTTAGCTGGCCTTTTTCCTCATTCCCTTTCCTTCTTGCTTCAGCTTCTGCCCTCTTCTTTTCCTCTACTTCTTTTTTCTTCTTGGCATCTGTTTCTCTTCTCTTCAGTGCATCTTCTTTCTTTTTCAGTGCCTCCTCTTTCTTCTTTTGAGCCTCGGCCTCTTTCCTCTGCTGTGCTTCTAAATTCCGCGTCACAGGCCGCGTTTTCTTATTAGCAGGAGAGGGAGATTTCTCAATGAAATCAAGAAGACCATCTTTCTTATTAGTGGCCTCATCGAAATCCTTATTTAGATTTTTGATGTACCGATTAATGTCACTGTCCAGAACTGCTTCTTCTTCTCCTTCTTCCTGAATTTTCTTCTCCTGTAACTTCATAACACAAAACAACTCAGCCATAACACAAAAATAACTCAACCATAACATAAAACAACTCAGACATAACACAAAACAACTCTGCCATAACAGAGGTATAACTCAGCCATAACACAAAATAACTCTGCCATAACAGAGGTATAACTCAGCCATAACATAAAACAACTCAGCCAAAACAGAGATATAACTCAACCATAACATACAACAACTCAGTCGTAATGTATCTGATAACCCAGCCATAACATAAACAACTCAGCCGTAATGTATTTGATAACTCAGCCATAACATAAAAAACTAAGTAAAAAAATCGAATAACTTAGCCATTACATAAACAACTAAGTAAAAAAATCGAATAACTTAGCCATTACATAAAATTAAGAGAACTCAGCTTACCGGGGGACTAGTAACAGAGTAGTCTTGGCTTGACGGTTTCTTCTGAATTTCAGGTGTCTGTTCTTTTTTTTTCCCAAAAGCATCCCTGATTCTTATATTGGAGATGCTCTTGAGTGGTAATTTGTCGTCATTCTGAATGTTTTTGCCTCCACTCATGAGACCAGCTAGGCCTCCACCTCTGGCAACGAAGGAAATTAGGCCTTTCATATTGACGAATTCTTCATCAACACGTGTGAACTTATCATCAAAGGTCTCAACCTTTGATTTCATGGTCTCAATACTTGATTTCATTTCTGAAACCATACCCACGAGTAATTTAAGTGACGCCATTCCACCAGCATCGTCCTCTTCACTATCAGCCTGCAAAACATACACAAAAATTGATAATCAAAACATACACAAAGTTATATGACTATATAACATATAACTTACCTTTACCTCCTCACTCTTCTTCTGCTTATTCTTCTGTTCATGAGGCTTTACCTCCTCGTTTATCTTCTTCTTCTTCTGTGCATCTTCTGCACCAGAATCACCACCCTTTTCAACTTTTTGCTTCTTAGCGGGAGATTCAGACTCAACCGCTGCTCTAACTTTTCCACTCTTCTTCTTGTCCTCATTCACTTTCACATCCCAAAAACCTTTAACAAGTTTTTCTTCATGTATGTCATTGACCAAGTTGACAAGTTCTGGGTCTTCTTCTGTCTGATTTGGC